ACCGGGCCGGCCTATTTAAAGGGTCCCTATAGGCGAGACATGCTTCCGTCTCCCTGTGGGCGAGACAAAGCCAGGACGTGGTTTGCGTAAGCTAGGTGGGCACAAGATCCAGGGCCATGAAAAGGTTGTCGGCTACCGCCCACGATCGTAGCCGCCCCTGTGAGGTAGATCCTATTTGATGCTCGTTAGCGTCAAAAGCGCATGCCTTCGGTGAGGGGAGCCTCCGCTCGGGCCAGCGCACGTACAGGATTCACGTACTCTTCGTTTCGCTGCTGCTTCCTTCGTTCTTTCCTGCGTTTTCTTTTTTGTTTTTCTTCTGTGGATTTTTTCCTTTCGGTTCTTTCAATGTTTTATGCGGTTTTCAATGATATTTTTTTATTTCTTTTCTTCATTTCTTATATTTTTCTTTTATGTTTTTTTCCTCCTTTTCTGTGTGTTATATAAAAAGTTCACCATGTATAATAAAAATGTTCACCTAATTAAGAGAATGTTCACCATATATTATGAAATTGTTCAACATGCATTCGAAAATATTCAGAGTATATCATAAAAATGTTTAATGTGTATTTGAAAACCGTTCAACATATATCACAAAAATGTTCAATGTGTATTGAAAAACTGTTCAACATATATCACAAAAATGTTCGTATTTATAAATTGTCCAGGAGCTCCCACGAACACATACACTGTAATAGCGGTTTGCGAGGTCGATTCCTCAACCAAGCATAATTTGCCCCCCTATTTTAATAGCTGCTCGCCACCGCATGGGCTGGCCCATTCAGATCGTGCTCTGCGCGAAAGCTTGGCTGTTCGACGCTAACGAGCGTCAGCTAGGAGCTCTCCCCCTGGGAGCTCCTATACGCGGGAAGCTCCTATACGCCGCCCGTGTGCATCCGATCGTTGCGACTTCGCTGAAGCGACGCGCACACGGGCCGGCCCAATCATGTCGCTGTGAGCGAAAAATCGAAAAAGGAAGTAACGCATGGGCGGGATCGAACCTCCGACCTGCTGACAGAATACAGTGAGGCTAGCCAGCCGAGCTAGCAACCTCGACTGTTTTAGATGCATCGCCAATCTTAAAGTAGAACGCACAGCGGCAAATCCTTAAAAAAGGACGTTCAACATTTTTATAATATGCGTTGAAGAAATTTTAAAATACAGTGAACGTTTTTGTAAAAAATACTGGACAAATCTAAAATACTAATATGGACATTTTATTGGTATACGTTGAACAATTTTCTAATATATGATGAACAAAACTTAAATACACAATGAACATTTTGTAATATACATTGAACAATTTAATAATGTACAATGAATTTTTTTGTAATACACAATGAACATTTTCCGATATACGTTGAAAATTTAATAACATACAATGAACATTTTTGTAATACACAATGAACATTTTCTGATATACCTTGAACAATTTAACAATATACAATGAACATTTTCTGATATATGTTGAACAATTTAATAATATACAATGAACATTTTTATAATACATAATGAACATTTTCTAATATACATTTAAAAATTTAATAATATACAACACAGTACAAGGTGAACTATTTCATAATATACGATGAGCATTTTCTTAATACATTGACAAATTTGTAACACATGATGAACTTTTTCTATAAATACGCAATAATGAGAAGAAGAACAGAAACATAAAATAAAAAAAAAGAAACGTAAAAGAAAGAAAATGAAAGGAAAAAAGGAATCAAAACAGAAAAATAAAAAACCGGAACAAAACAACTGAATACCGGCCAAACACAGTGAAAAACTGGAAGCAAAAAACCATACAAGAAAAACGAAAAAAAAACGCAAGAAAGAAACAAGGAAACAGCGGCGAACGAAATCCGTCCGTGGGCCGGCCCAAGTGGCGAGTTGCTTCAGCGAAGGCTCGTCCTTTTGACGCCTGCGGGCGTCAAATAGGATTAGCCGCATGCGTCGACATCTCCATCTGATCTGCATTTGCTAAAAAAAAACTCTGATCTGCAACGGTGCAGTTCTGAAAATTATAATTAAAAATGAGTTTGCTAATTCTCATATACCTGAAATGTTTACAACCATCAATCACCATTTTGAGACAAGGCCAAAGGCTGAAGGGCGTGAGGAGTGCCATCCACGACAGGGCCAAATAGTGGACGAGCAGGAGCCGACGAGAGCGAGACCGAAACTTGATGGGTGCGGGTTGGGATGTGCGCATTCACCAAAAAAATGCAGTGAGGAGATGACGAGAGCACGAACGGTCGCGGGTGGCGGCGGCAAACAGTCCAACCGAGGTACATGGGGTGGATGGCGTCAGGTTGAAGATGAAGACGGCATGAGGTCGAGGCTGATCCTAATTTGTTTCATATGCACCATGAGAAAAACGAAGCTAGACAGAATGCACTGCATATTTTGCAAAAGCTAATTCAGTTATGCTCATAAATCTTGCCATAGCGATCTATACCACTCTTTTCCGGGCGCAACGTACAAAACCGCTTTGTGTCAGAAATAAACAAGACGGTATGACCGACTCATCAACCAAGAAAATAAAATCCAAATGATAAGTGTCACACATGTGGCACTAAGTAACAACGCTCGCCCTGACGTTTTTACAATGAAAATTGCCATAAAAAAAACCCCGAAAGAAAACTAAAACTTGGCATCCAAACAGAAAATTGCCATGTTTCATCGTTGTCATCCTTGGCTAACTAAACGTGTTGCGAACCAACCTGTGATTAGATGGTTAGGTGGACAGTGGTATCCCAGCCCATCAGGGTTCAAGTCTTGGTGCTCGCATTATTACGGGATTTATTTCAGGATTTCCGGCAATGCGCTTTCAGTGGGAGGAGACGTTCTCGTCGACGACGAGACGGGTGTGTATGTGCATTCATAGGGATGAGTGTATGCACGTATGTATAAGCGCTTGCGTTGTTAAAAAAAACTTGTCATAAAAAACGTCAGGACAAAATCGCTTTCTGCCATACGTGTGACACTTGGCAGGACAACCACTATACCAGGACCGTGGATGGTGGCGATGAGCGTGGGCGCCCTCCACCGAGCAGCCAAGGCCAAGGCCAACGTTAGTGGCAGCGTCTCGCAGGGCGCCAAGCAGCTTCCGCCGGCGGCGGAGAGGCGGCGAGCGGAGAAGGCCGAGGAGGGGCTGAGGACGGTGATGTACCTCAGCTGCTGGGGTCCCAATTAGTACTACCACCTAGCTTCTTCTAGTTCTAGCCTCTGTTAGAAACCTCTAGCAAGTAGCAACAACCGTGCCGTGTCACTTGGCTGGTTAGTTCCCTCCTGATTGTAAATACTCCCTAGTATGTATCACTCGATGATGATGGTGAAATTTCCCAGCTTGAGTTTACAGTGCCCTGCTTGAGAAAGGGGTTTACATTGCCCTCCAATTCCAAACTGTCTGTTCGTTTCAGATTCTTCCGGAGTACTATTGCTTCGAGTTGTTCACGGTTAAGCTCTGCCCGTTGCTCCCTTCGCTGCTTTGATGGGCAGAATCGGAGAACACTTTGGCCGGAACAAGATCGTGGGACCAAAATAACTGATCGTGGCCCTCAAATCTTCTGATCGAAGCGACGGAATCGAGCAGTGTTTCCTTTCCAGCTTCTACAGAGGACAATCGAAACTGTAACATCCCCGCAAGAAAAGAAGCAGCAAAATTGTACATGAACTAGTTCAATTTGACATCAAAATCAAACAATTCAACAATGTTATTACAAACCGTTTTTCACTTGAATACAATAAACAATCTGAATGCAACAAATAATCCAATGAATGAATTTTTCCAAGTAAAAGTTAATGAACTAAAGAAATGTAAATACACTATCACCCATGCTGTTTGTGTGTCATACGAGGCTTGATAGTTATGCCAACATTGTCCTACTTTTTGGCCACCTATGTATCCGTCTCATCTGCAATGACCATGTCATGTAGGATCACACAAAATATCATGATCCTTGCCAAGGCAATTTTATTCCAGAAATAAGCAGGACACTGGACAATTGCGAACCTACTTTGCACAATTCCAAATGCCCTAGCAATGTCCTTCCTTGCTACTTCTTACATCTTTGCAAAAATGATTATGTTTGGGGATCAGAAATTTTCTTCATAAATGTTGACCAAGATGGATAGATGTCATCGACTAGGTAGTATCCTTGGTCAAAATCATAGCCATTCACCTTGTAGTTGTATCCTGGAGTAGTACCACATGTTTCCAATGAGATATATGCAAGCATTGATGTCATTGTGAGATTCAGGCAAGTCAAAGTAGCAATGCGAAATCCAAAAATCGTCGGAGGTAACAACTTACAAGATAATAGTTGAATCATGAAAACCCGATGAATTGCCCGTGTCATTCTACCAGGCAATTATTCCACCTCCAATGCATAAAGTCAACGCTCCCAAGCATCCGAGGTCACCCTCTTACTTCACCCATTAATTTCTAAAAGACTCTTTCATCGGCATTGGGTGCTCATAAATACTGAGCTCCATGAACCCTAACTGCAACATCGACGAACACTTTTGTGCACTTTATGGTTATATCTTTCAAAGATATCCATGTGTCATATCTGCAGGAGTGTCATATGCAATCATCTGAAGTGTTAGTGTCACGGTCACCTTCTGAAAAAAAAAGCCCAGCAGACCGGCGGCATTCCTCCGTTGCTTGAAGAACGGTCCATTAGATTCCATGTTATCAACAATTCGACATAATAGCTGTTTGGGCATGTTGAAGCGTCACTGACAATCAAATGCGAGCTCATTATATAACAACTGAATGCGAGCTCATTATATATTTCCCATTAAAATAAACTCGAGAAACACCATTTATTACACACTCATGTAAGGGAACATTTTGTCAAACATTCTGTTGAGACGACATGATATATATGGGCAAAAAATTGAACACGAGAACTGTTACAACTTGCACATCTAATAATTGAATCAATAAAAACGGGCCGGGTTGCATGACGCACTTGGGATCAACCAATCAATCAATAGTTGGGCACGGAGCACTTGAGCCTCACCTCCACGGGCATTCCTTTGGGCGGAGGTACGTTTCCCATCTTCACCATGGCCTTGGCGAAGTCCCTCGCGAACGCCTCACCGTCGGTGCTGTACATCTCCACGAGATTGTCCTGCAAACCTCCACCGCCGTAGAGAGTCTGGTCGGAGGTGAGGAGACCGCGCCGCGCGATAAGGTTCCGGTAGTAAGCGTTGTCGAACCTCATCGGAGTCTGCACGTCAAACGACGCTTTACCAGAAGGACCCTGGCACATCTGCTGCATGGTCTGTGCGAAGGATGGGTCGATCTCCTCATCGCGGTCGGTGCCGTAGACGCGGTCGCTGTAGTGCAGGCAGTTGGCCATCCCGACGGTGTGTGCACCGGAGAGCGCGGTCATATCACGCGCGTCGAGGTTGAGCCTTGAAAACATGGTGACGAGCTCGCCGAGGTTGTCGTGCGGGCTGGGGAGGCCCTTCTTGGTGGACTCTGGGTCGGCCGCGAAGCGCGAGTCCTTGCGGCCGAGGGGCACGCTCCAGGTGGGGCCTCCGAGCAGGGCGACGGCGTCGCGGGACGCCAGGGCGATAACATCAGCGCAGGAGACGGTTGCCGGGCAGTCGTGCTCGAGGGCGGACTTGATGTCGTCGATGACGGTGTAGCCGGTGAGGGAGGCGTTCGGCTCTACATCCTTCTCGCTGGGGGAGAAGGGGGTTGCTTCCAGGAGAACAGAAGCATCACATCCCTGTCACGCCATATAAGAGTATTAGCAAATGGAACCATATAGTATATGTAAGAATATACGGAATATAGAAGTAGAGATGCGTATATACGTTGATGAAGCAGTCGTGGAAGAAGAGGCGGAGGACGGCGGGTGCCATCCTCGGCTGGGCGGCGACGCTGCTCGCCATCACTGACCGCACGACGCGCTGCACGTTGGGGCACGTCTTCTCGTAGTAACCCGCGGAGAGCTCGTCGCCATTGGCGGTGGCAGCGAGAGCAACCAAGAGGAGCAGCGCAAGTGCAACGCAAGAAGGGACGACGCTGGAGGACGCCATGCCTAGAGGTTGACTGATGATGAGAGCGATCGCTGCACGGTGCAGAAAAAGCCGGCAAGGAGAGAGCGAGATGCTTATAGCTTAATGCTATTGCTAGCTAGGTTGCAATGGATGATCCAGTAGTAAGCATCTGCTTATATAGACTTCGGTTTGGGCTGCCGTCTTCCTCGCGCGTGCGAGTGTGCGAACGCTCTGCTCGACTGACAAGGTCTCTGGTCTGTCTGCCGCGGTGCCGCCTCGTGCTCGTGTATCTTGGCCGGAACCTTGACGGGGTCAGGGCAGGACGTACGAAGAGAAACAAAAGCGCAGGGAATTGACATGCTAACTAATACACGTACCTAGCTTGAATTACATAAAATTATGGACGTGATCCCGTCGACACGGTTGCTTGCTTGGATGGTGCAATTGTCCACGCCGAGAATCAAATCGTTCGCTGAATTCAAAGGGTGTTGGGACATATCACAAACCGTTGAAACGCGCTGTAGAAACACAAAGATGCATGCTGTCCACTTGGGCTGTTTTGGCTAGTTCAAAAGGCGAGTAGTACGAGTTAGCAGACGATTTTGTCACGGTTCCAGAAAACATCCTTTAAATACACCCCGCTGGAACTGGAAGCCTGGTATGTATGCACACCTTACACCCAGCCTTGTATATTTGAAATATTTATGAAAGATATCGAGAACCTAAGAATTTGCCCGGGACGCACGGTGGCTATGGGCTGCCCTAGGTCTGCCTTACCGCCCTAAGGCCTTGAGGTTCGCTGTCATCAAACACGAAAAACAACGAAGAACGAGGAACGATAAAATGAGGGAGAAAGGTAAAAGCTAAATGATGGATCGGTTTGACGATTGTGTGTTGTTCAATAAGTTGTCACATCTCATCTATTTATGAGACGGATAGTCTTCTTACAAAAAAAAAACAACTTAGATTTCTGTCCAAATCATTAAATCTGTCATATTTTGGATTAATACGTTCAGAAGCTCCGAGCCAGCGCGCGGAGGCTCCAGCCCCAGAAGTCCCCGAACGTTCTGAGGCAATCTTCATGCAGACTTGCAATGCTCATGTTAAACATGGAGGTATCCCAGAGGTTCCAGGACAAAATTTCTCGCATAATGTTGCAATGTTCATGTTAAGTCCAGAGGTTCTGGGGCAACTTTTCTGCACCACACTATTTTGGCACTAGAAATAGCATAGAATCTTAGATTGAGACGATTATAAGTACAAAAAAATCATTCGTGTTGACAGAAACCCCTTTGAACTTGTCATAACTTTCGGGTCTAAGCTCTAATTTGAGTGGCCCTTAATTGTTTTATATCCATTCTAATATTATAGGGCTATCCAATGGTGGCATCCGACTGTTAATTTGGCCACTGTTTGTGTTCCTTCCTGTTCTGTTTCTCTTGCCACTTTTGAGCGTCAACATTTGCAAAACTAATTGTTAACCACTTTGATGTGATTCAAAATTGGAGTTCAGATCCAGAAAATTGGTGCATGTATGTACCATATTTCTTAAATAGTTTTTTTTTACTTCTTTATAATTTCACTATATTCTAGCTCATGCTTTCATATGCATGCATGACTCAACCTTAGCCCGTTGGACCTATCATTTGGAGAAGATTCACACAGTAATAAACAAATTGATGTATATTTTGTCGATGGCCCTAGCAATAATACTATATACTAGAAGGGTTGGTGCGCTTTGCAGCGCCATTGGTGTTGTTGGGTTTCTTAGAAACATTACTCACTTTGTTTCACATCTAAGGTGAATTAAATTTTTTAAAAGTCAAATACTTTTAAGTTTGATCAAATTTGTAGAGAAATATATCAAATTCATAATACCAAATTGGTATTATTAGATTCATCATGAAATGGATTTCCATATATTTTTTGTTAAATATTATGGATGTTGACATTTTTTGGCTCTAAACTTGGTCAAAGTTAAAGGAATTTGACTTTCCAAAAAGCTAATAACCTTATATTTTGGAATCGATGGAATATCTAATTTGGCGGGGCGGGGAGATGATGGAGTGTGTTTTATTTTTATATAATTCGATGACCTGTTGGGCCTTTCTCGATGTGATTCTGTGTTATCCGCTAAGAAACCCATATTTATGTCAGCAAATATCTGTGTCGGTAGCTGCATGTACTATATAGGTGCTACAGTATCACATGGTGGCGTTTCTTTTTCTAGGTGGTAGGAGGGTGTGTGGGATCGATATGTTTTTATAGGCGGTTGTTGCTAATTAATTTGAAAAATGATTGGCCCAATCAAAATCTGCCAAATCCATAATTGAATCCCTCAATTGAATTGAAGAGCTTCAAAATTACGGAACAATAGTGAATTAAAATAATTGAATGGGAGATCTCCTTGAAAAATTGTTGACCCAGCCAAAATTGAGTGACTCAATTTTAAATTGAAGACCTCAATTAGTTGTGAGGCCTTAAAATTAGGAAACATATTGTTAGTATAAACGAATTGAATGTGAGAGCTTTGAGAAATTGTTGACCCGATCAAAATCAAGTGACCCAATTTCAAACGAAGACCTCAATTGATTGTGAGCGGTTTAAAATTAGGGAGCTGGTTTTTCTTTTTTCTAGATGGTCGGAGGATGTGCGTGATTGATATGTTTTATAGGCGGTTGCTGCTGATTGATTTGAAAAATGATTGGCCCGATCAAAAATCTTAAACCAAAGCTATAATTGAATACCTCAATTGAATTGAAGAGCTTCAAAATTAGGGGAAATAGTGAATTAAAATAATTGAATGGAAGATCTCCTTGAGAAATTGTTGACCCGATCAAAATTGAGTGACTCAATTTTAAATTGATGACCTCAATTAGTTGTGAGAGACCTTAAAAATTAGGCAGCATATTGTATTGTATAAAAAAATTGAATGAGAGAGCTTTGAGAAATTGTTGACCTGGTTAAAATCGGGTGACCATGTTTCAATTGGAAACCTCAATTGATTGTGAGCACTTTAAAATTAAGGAGCTTAGTGTTATAGAGGATGATTGACAATGGATGATCAAAATTGAACATGGTAGACAAGAAAAAGACGCAGGATGGATAGCATGTATTGCACACAAGATACTAAAAATCAAGCAATGTTCAGCTCTATAAACAAATGAATATGATAGTACAATATGTATTTTCACTATTTGTGCAACCACAAATGCATCATCTTGTTGACCCAGCCAAAATTGAGTGTCAAAAACCATTACATAACATCATGAATAGATAATTAAGTGTCAAAATTAATAAAAGTTCATCATCACATTAAAACCAAAGTACATACATAGTTCTCATTGAACAACATATAGCTCTCCAGAGCATCTAATTAATTAAACCATGCATTGAAACTATGTAAAACATTTCAATGCAAAAACAAATGTGATCATAATCGCAACCAAGGTAATAATTGATCCAACGGCATAATGATACGAAGACTTGGTATGAATGGCATATTTTCTAATCTTTCTAATCTTCAAGCGCATTGCATCCATCTTGATCTTGTGATTATCGACGACATCCGCAACATGCAACTCCAATATCATCTTCTCCTCCTCAACTTTTTTTATTTTTTCCTTCAAGAAATTGTTTTCTTCTTCAACTAAATTTAACCTCTCGACAATAGGGTCGGTTGGAATTTCCGGTTCACATACCTCCTAGATAAATAAAATCTATGTCACGTTGGTCAGCATAATTATCATAAACAATAAATGAACCAAATAGTTAGAAAAGATAATATATACCACACCTGAATCATAGACAGGACGAGGACCGACCGGGGCAGATACTAAAACCATCGCACTATATAATAAGAAGCAATAGTAAAAGTAAGAAAATTATACAAGTATCTATCTAAACATGCAAGTAAGAATTATTTTTTCTTTCAGAAAGAAGATAAGAACAAGAGGCTCACCACCATGGTGTCGGCGACGAGATCGGCGTGGGCGATCGACGGCGGTGAAGACGGGGACGGGACGTGACAGAACGCTAAACCTAGACAAATATTTAGGAAAATGAAGTTTGAAGATCGAGCTGGGAGAGGAGAAAGTTTAAGTACTGTGGCTCGGACATTCCATCGAACACCTCATGTGCATAAGAGGTGAGCTAGAGCACCATAAAGCCCTCCCCTCGCCGGCCAGAAAAAATAGAGCAATGTGGAGTGCTCTGCTCGCCGGCGAGAGGGTATATATAGACACATCATTGGTTCCGGTTCATGGCTTGAACTGGGACTAAAGGACACCCTTTGGTCCCCGTTCAAGCCACCAACCGAAACAAATGATGGTGGGCCAGGAGCGAGGCCCATTGGTCCCGGTTCATCCCACCAACCGGGACCAAAGCAGCCAGATGAACCGGGACCAATGCCCCCACGAGGCCCGGCAGGCCCCCTGGCCTCCTGAACCGGGACCAAACGTGATTGAACTGGGACTAATTGGCTTATCTGGCCTGAATGAAAAACCCTGTTTTCTACTAGTAAGGGGTTGAGGACCGTCATATACCTCAGCTGCTGGGTCCCAATTAGCGTGTGACTTGGTTCCCTCCCGGTTGTAAATACTCCCTAGTACAGTATGTTTCACAAACATCACGCATTATTACATATTCAAAAACCTTTGTACAAGGCAATCGTGCCATGCATGTCAATATGTCACGTGTAATGTTCGTGACACGACGGGTAAGGATTTGGTCACACAACTTTAGATTTGGTCTTTATTCCCGGTTCCCCGAACAGTACAAAGATCTCATTAGAGACACCTGTTCCGTGCGCTGATTTAAAAGACCGGAAGCATCTTAGCAATGGCGCCGGTGGCTGTGCTTGTGCCGTGGCTAGCATGGCTCGTCGTCTCTTTCCTCTCCGTCTACCTCCTCAACCTCCTCTCTCGAGCGCGCTCCGGCCTCCCGCCGGGCCCCCGCCCGCTGCTGCTCATCGGCAGCCTCCACCTCCTCGGCGACAAGCCGCACCGCTCCCTTGCCCGTCTGGCCAAGGTCCACGGCCCGCTCATGTCCCTGCGCCTCGGCGCGGTCACCACGGTGGTCGTTTCCTCCCCCGCCATGGCCCGGGAGTTCCTGCAGCGGCACGACTCCGCGTTCGCCGCCCGGTCCGTGCCCGACGCCACCGGCGAGCACGCGGCGGGCTCCGTGGCCTGGCTGCCCCCTGCGCCGCGGTGGCGCGCGCTGCGCAAGATGATGGCCACGGAGCTGTTCGCCCCGCACCGGCTCGACGCGCTGCGCCACCTGCGAAGCGAAAAGGTGCGGGAGCTCGTGGACCACGTCGCGCGGCTGGCGCGCGAGGGCGCGCCCGTGAACGTTGGCCGCGTGGCCTTCACGACGAGCCTGAACCTCCTCTCCCGCACCATCTTCTCCGCCGACCTGACGAGCCTCGACGACCGCGGCCGCTCGGAGGAGTTCCAGCAGGTGGTGACGGCCATCATGCAGGCCCTGGGGAGCCCCAACGTGTCGGACTTCTTCCCGCTGCTCGCGCCGGCCGACTTGCAGGGCACGCGCCGGCGGCTGGCGCGGCTGTTCGCGCGGCTGCACGCGGTGTTCGACGCCGAGGTGGACGGGAGGCTGCGCGGCCGCGACGCCGGCCAGCCGAGGAAGAACGACTTCCTCGACGCGCTGCTCGACGTGGCGGCGCGTGAGGACGGCAAGGACCTGCTGGACCGCCAGACGCTACGATCACTTTTCACGGTAAACATAATTTCTGTCTGAGAGGACACAAAAGATATACTTGAAAATTCCGCACGCACATGAATGGTCAGCCTTGCCGACTGAGCCTGCCGGGGATCAAAGCACATGGCCAGCCTTGGAGATTGAGATTTATATTTTTAAATGTTGGCATCGAGATATCTAATATCCACAAATTTCGTATTTAATTTTTTAATCAAGAAATAAACATAAGAGTTTGATAGTATATAGATGATAGGAGCCATATTATAGCTTAAATGAATATATTTAGATATATTTCAATGCTAGATACATCTGTTTGGACGACAAGTAATTTGATTCAGAGGGAGTACCAGATTTTTGTTTATTTCCCTATGTATGGACGACATTTTGGTGAAATTTTGTAGTTACTACTATCCACTCTATTGATGCTATACGAACACTAACAGTGATAACATCAAAAGTACCATTTGGATACTCATGTAGCCATGTTTATGCCTCTAAAATTCAGACAGAATAGTCGCACATAATTTTTTACAAGAATCATGCACGGCAGGCTACTCATGTGTTACAAAGTGTACCACTGGATTTCTCCTCTATATAAGAACTGAATCATCTAAAACAAGAATTCCTATGTTTTTCATTTGTTTCAAACCAGGCTTATTGTATTTTACCCCATTTCCAACAATTCCATGATAGCCCTCGCATGACTGCACTTCATCCAACGCGTGAAGAATGGAGAATTGGGTTAGGAACAATAGCTTCTACTATACTATAATGAAATGAGTATAAAATCTTATAACGCAAATCAATGAGGTGTTTCTTCTATAGTTCATCCAAACAGTACATGTATGTGTGGTTCAAAGAGAATTTAAGTTCTTCTATAGAAAACAATCATTTGTACTCTCTGTGGTGCTTGTTTAGTGTATCTAAATAGCTATATTGACTAGACTATTGACGTGACATTATATTTGCATGTTAGGATTTGTTCTCTGCTGGTAGTGACACAAGCTCTAGCACAGTGGAATGGGCAATGGCAGAGCTTCTCCAAAATCCATCATCAATGTCTAGAGCTTGCAACGAGCTTGCAGAAGTTATTGGATCCAAAAGAAACATTGACGAAGATGATATTGTTCGGTTGCCCTATCTCCAAGCTGTCATAAAAGAGACTTTTAGACTTCATCCTCCTGGCCCGTTCCTGTTGCCACGGAAACAGAGAGAACACTGAAAATAGCAGGTTACACAATACCTAAAGATTCACGTGTGTTTATAAACATATGGGCGATAGGTCGAGATAAAGATGTATGGACTGAACCTGAGAAGTTTATGCCAGAGAGGTTCTTGGGTTCAACAGTTGACTTTAAGGGTGTCGATTTTGAGCTCCTTCCATTTGGTGCCGGACGTCGGATCTGCCCTGGAATGCCATTGGCTATTAGGATGGTGCATTTGGTCCTCGCTTCGTTGTTAAATCAATTTAAGTGGAGTCTCCCTATTGAGCTTGAAAGGGATGGGATTGATATGGAAGAAAAGTTTGGCCTATCACTTACGAAGGTCGTGCCTCTTCGTATTGTACCAACACCGATTTGAATTAGAAACAAAATGTGTCCCTAGTAAGGTTGTTTTAAATGTTTTTAACATGTAATAATTCAAATGTATCACCCATGGAATTTATACAATTATTTATGTCACAGTTAAACTTTTAGAAAACTTGACTTCCTCACAGTGCACAAGTTGAATGATATGTTGTTTTTACGCGGAGATATGTTGTGTTACACAGTTGCTGATCCTACAAAGGTATTCATGCATGCCATCCTAGCCACCCAGATTAACCTTTTAGGTTTGTACTAGCACATATGCCCGTGCATTGCAACGGGAAAATTTATGTTTTATGCACGCATAATGTCTCGTAGCACCGGATTCACTACAGAATATGCAATACAGCATCCGTTTACAAAATGAACATAAAAAATTGGAAGCAATTTATCTGCATCCATATTTTCTTTGCGGGCATATATAATCTCCCACTAGTTCCGTTTAAGTATAATCCTTCCTTTAATTGCCATGACATCCTCACCCATTTTTGTCGGGAATCAAATCCTTCCTTTTCTAGTTTAGTAGCCCCACCCGAATGAAGCATATGATCCTTCCTTTTAATTATCCTACCTTTTTACCTCAAATCCTTCCTTTAATTAGCCTCATATATTTGAATATTCTTTTTATTAAGCCCACAATTGTTCTTTTAATTATTTCATCGGTTTACCCACAATCCTTTCTTTAATTAGCCACGTCCATTTAAATATCCTATTTAAGCCGCATTCAATTCCCACTATGTTGATTTATTTTGACCTAACTATTTTTCGCGGTCTCTATGAAAGCGCATAGAAGGCCCATCAACGTACAAGTACCAGCGAACCGTACGAAAGTTTAGTGTGCGCTCATCCCAAATGAAAATCAATGAAAAGGACTAAACCAAACCAAGAACATATATTCCCTTTAATAGTAGGTATAGATAACACCATATTCCAAAAAAGTAAACGCATTCCTTAAAAAAATACAACATTTTATTCACATGCGATGGATGGTGGATGATCATTGATATATTATTGGGAGCCTTAAAGAGAAGACAAATGGTGAACTTAATATGACAATTTCACCTTTACACCTTAAGTATTGTGTTGGAGCAATAGTAATTGTTCTCAGAGAAAGAAAATAAAATACGAAATTGCTTTTCTAAGCTCAAGCACACATGAGCTCGAGTGAACAGTAAAACAAAAATAAGAAAAAATAGATTTTTTTTTTGCATCAAACAATGACAAATGTTTTGATTGCTTTCAAAATTTCATTATGCAATGACATTCATGGAAGACATGGCTAGAAAAATAAAATCAATGCTCCAAATTTTTGTCAATGTTTGGTACCAAAAAAATCAGATTTGTTATTTGTTATTATTTTACTGTTCACCCGAACTCACATGAGTTCATGCTCAGTTTAACCTTGTCCAATAAACTATGCATATTTTCACTTCACGAATATCTACACCATTCGAAGATTCAAAATTTTCACTATTCGTAATTTGTCACTGTGAAAATTATCCTCTCCAACATATGGAAACATTTCCTTGTCCAGAATATTCGCTTTTAAATTTTTTGCGCATTGCAAAGTTCAAAAATCTTCCACGGTCTAAATCTTTTTCGTAGTCAAAACATGTGCACCTTCATTCAACCGTCACCAATAATATGAAAAAGCACAATTTAATAATTTTTTATGTCCAAATCAAATACTTATGAAAATTTCAAATGGTATGGAGCACTTTTTAAAATTACATGAACATTCTTTTACATTGTATTACTTTTTTTAAAAAAATACGAACATATTTGGTGAAATAAGTGAACATTATTTTCGAAATGTGACGACCATTTCTTTGAATGGTATGAAATATTTTTAAACTTACACAAATGCTTTTTACATTGTATAAACACTTTTTATAAATGTCACAAACATTTTTTTTGGAATGCATGAATAATTTTTAAATGTTACAAATATTTATTTTGAATGCTATCCACATTTTTAAAAGTTGAAAGAACATTTTTTGACATTGTATAAATATGTTTAATGTGCGGTGAACATTTTTTGAATTTGATCAAGTATAAATAAAAGCTAAAAGATAGAAAGGAAAAAAACAAAACGCATACTTAACCTCCTACTGGGCCGGCTCATTTAAAGGGTCCGGCGAGACGTGCTTTTGTCTTGCGGCGGGCGAGACGAAGCCATGACGGGTTTCGCGTAAGTTGGGTGGGCACAAGATCTAGGCCCATGAAAAGGTTGCCCACTAACCGCCCTCGGTCCTAACTGCCTCTGTGGTGCATGCGTCAACATCTCCATCTGACTACAACGCCACCTCAAAAAAATCTGATCTACAATGATGCAGTTCTCAAAATTAAAATTAAAAACGAGTTTGCTAATTCTCATACACCTGGAATTTTTACAACCATCAATTATCTTTTTGAGACGAGGCCGAGGATGGACGTCGTGAGGAGCACCAGCCACGGCAAGGCCGAGCCATGGACGAGCGGGAGCCCGCAAGAGCGAGTCTGAAACTTGATGGGTGAGAGTTGAGGTGTGCACGGTCGCAGTCGCGGAAAAATCTATTCACCAACG